TTTGTTGATACCTGGAGGTTTCCAAACATGTACAAAACCCTAAAATTGCCTCTTTGCAAGACTGCGTTTCTAAATTAACCAAAACAAAAAATACTAAAAAAGAACAAAATGGCTTCCAAAGCTTCATGCTCCTTGGGTTCCCCTCCTCCAATTTCTTTGTCTCAGGCATCATCATCTTTGTCTTCTCTGACCCCTGTCTTGGACTCCACCCCAGCAGCCACCTTGTGCTCAAGCTGTGCCCCCATGCCATCTTCCTCTCTCCTCCTCTGTGAAAACCTATACTTTTAAAATTGGAACCTCTGAGGATCCAAATGCTAAATCCCCGTTTACTGTTTCTAAGTTAACTTCAGCAAATAACTAGAAGAAAAGATTTAAACAGCAATTGCCCTAGATTTTGATAATAGACAAATACACTCCAAAACTCCTAGGAGACATCTTACTTTCTGTTTCTGTTTTTGTTGAGACTTCTGGTAAGTCACCCATCATGTTCAAAAGGAGGAACATTTGTTTTATATAAACCCACCTTAAGGAGTACCTTAAAAGAGGATTCTAAACCTCTTAGGAGACAAAGTAATGCATTCTTTGGTATGCAATTTGTCTTCTAAAAGACAAACTGACTTGAAAAACAGATCTTAAAAGGAACCTGAAAGCATGGAACCTGATAGCATGCAAACACAATTTGGATCTAAGTATTCTTTTGAGTTTGTATCTGAGACTTAGCTAAAATTTAAAATGAAACCATAAGGTCCCTTTGCATCTGTCTGTATTTTCATGTGTCTTTATTCATGTGTATATCTGTGTTGTAGATGTGTGGGTTGTTTTTTTTTCCTTTTGTATTTCCAAGTGGTACTGCCAAAATTAATCTGTGAGAGAGCTCTTAAAAATAAACAAGTGCTTATGTGAGTTAAAGAAATATTACATACACTAACCCAAAATGCTTTTCAGGTTCACGCTATCTAGGTTTAAATTTTAGTAAATGAAAGCTAGCTTAAGGTTGTTGTTTTAATTAAAACAGGCATGTCTTTGGAGTTATCAAGACTGAAAATAATGCAGGCATACAATTTTCATTCTAGTTGGGTTTATTTGTCAGATTAGTTCATGTTATCTTACTTCAGGTCAAGTAAGTTCATGGTGCTAAAAAAAAATTGTCAGCAAGAAAAATAACTTGGTAAGATAAAATTTTTCATGAGTGGTCTAAATAAACATGGCTGTTAAAAACAAGTGAATTGATGTAGAGCAGAAACTAACAACAATGTAAAGCAATTTTACTCCAATAAAAAAAACTTAAATTTAAAAAAAAAAACAAGTGAATTGAAGGGATATGGATAGATAAGTGGTTCTAGATAAACCTTTTTTTTTTTTGCAGTACGCAGGCCTCTCACTGTTGTGGCCTCTCCTGCTGCGGAGCACAGGCTCCGGACGCGCAGGCTCAGCGGCCATGGCTTACGGGCCCAGCCACTCCACGGCATGTGGGATCTTCCCAGACCGGGGCACAAACCCGTGTCCCCTGAATCGGCAGGCGGACTTTCAACCACTGTGCCAACAGGGAAGCCCCTAGATAAACCTTTTAAGTAGCTTCCCCAAATTTTTTGGCAACCTGAAACTTTACAGTTTTGCTAAGTTCAATTAAATGATGGGTAGTCATTAAATATCTAGATCATTCCCAAATAACATAAAATACTGAAACATTACTGAAAATAAGTTCATCCATTTTTGGCTACCTTTACAAAGGAACTAAAGATATTTGAGTTTAAAACTACAAACTGGGAGAAAATATTTGCAACCGACAAGGGCTTAATTTCCAAAATATACAAACAGCTCATACAACTCAATAACAAAAAAAAACAAACAACCCAATGGAAAAATAGACATAAGACATTTCCCCAAAGAATACATACAGATGGCCAACAGGGACCTGAAAAGATACTCAGTATCTCTAATTATTAGAGAAATGCAAATCAAAACTACAATGAGGTATCACCTCATACCAGTCAGAATGGTCATCATTAAAAAGTCTACAAATATTAAATGCTGGAGAGGGTGTGGAAAAAAGGGAACCCTCCTACACTGTTGCTGGGAATGTAAACTGGTGCAGCCACTATGGAAAAAAGTATGGAGGTTCCTCAAAAAACCGAAAATAGAGTTGCCATATGATCCAGCAATCCCACTCCTGGGCATATATCTGGAGAAAACTATAATTCGAAAAGATACATGCACCCCAATGTTCAAAGCAGCACTATTTACAACAGACAAGACACGGAAGCAAACTAAATGTCCACCGATAGATAAATGGATAAAGATGTGGTATATATACCAATGGAATACTACTCAGCCATAAAAAAGAATCTAATAATGCCATTTGCAGCAACATGGATGGACCCAGAGATTACCATATTAAATGAAGTAAATCAGAAAGGAAAGACAAATACCATATGATATCACTTATATGTGGAATCTAAAATATGACACAAATGAACTTATTTACAAAATGGAAACAGACTCACAGACACAGAAAACAAACTTATGGATACCCTTAGGAGAAAGGGGGTGGACGAGGGATAAATCAGGAGTTTGGAATTAGTAGATACAAACTACCATATATATAAAATAGATAAACAACAAGGTTCTACTGTATAGTACAGAGAACTATATTCAATACCCTGTAATAAACCATAATGGAAAAGATTATGAAAAAATATATATACATTCATATATATGTACATATATATACATATAAAAAAGTAACTGAATCACTTTGATGTACAACAGAAATACAACACTGTAAATCAACTATACTTCAATAAAAATTTTTAAAAATTAAAAAGATACTTGGGTCTCTTGGTAAACATGCCACATTGGAAAACTTATTATGAAGAAAATATGCTTTTAGGAATTATGAAGCATATTCATAAATTTTCCAGGAACAGTCCATTCATAATTGTTTAATGCTACAAGAAATAATGGAAAAGTTGGATGTGTTTTTTTGGTAAGACAAGGTATGAGGAAGGGAAATACATTTTGTGGAGGAAAAGAAAGTAATTTTGTTTTAAAGCGAGACTGATTGTTTCAGAATAGGAAAGTGGAAAGATAGGACAAAAACTGAATGTAAATAGTAAGTTGCAGAAGATTTGTGGAAAAGGAATCTTTGAAAAAAGGAGCTTTATGTGTGGTCAAGCTGTCTAAATATTATAAGGACTTTAAGAGTAAGGTTTAAAATCAGTGGTGTACTTATATAAAACTAAAACTTAATTTACTTTCATTTGCTAAAAGAACAGTCTTCTTAGAATAGTGGTCTGCTCCTGATAAAAGACTGTGGAAGTCTTTTCCTTATCTTTAATTAGTCTCCTTAGAAACAAAAATTTGTAGTTTACCAAAATTCTTTTGTGTTTCATGTTGTCTTAACCAAGTCTTTGATTATTAAAGAAAACCAAATCTTCTCAATATTAAAAGTTGTAAGTTTCCCTTACAACCACATAACCTTTTGTATTTGTCTTTGTAATCTTTTATTACTTTAGTCAAATAGATAATTAAGTATCATTTCATAGTGATCTGTGGTCCCACTGGATCAAACGTCCAAAACCTTTTGATATTTTTGACAAACTTCCCAAAAATCATGTTCTAAATGAAATCTTTTTTTTTTTTTTTTACCTTGAACTAACTTTGAGTTCTCCCAGAGGGCCCATGGAGAATCTAAAAAGATTTGTCTCTCACCTGGTAAAACGTTGAAGGAATCAGTCTTATCTGATATATTAAATTACATATGAGGCTTGTCATGTAAGAAGGATTACTGAATCTTTTTACCTTATTTGTATAGGTGTATGTTAATATAAGTGTTCAAAACTGTATCAAATTCCTGAAATTCCAAGATGTCCTGATATAATGTTATTAGTCATAATTTTTAAATGTATGTCACAGAAATAAGCAGATTCCTTTCTCAGTCCCATTACAGTGAACTCTCATCAGATCTTTAAATGGGCATTTTCAAGTCTTTGCCATTTATAGGCAGTTACTGCTTTATTCTAATGCTTTTGTAAATATGTTTCACCTTTAAAGAAATTCAGGACTCCGATGGGTATTCTGGAACACAGTTTTTTGATAACTTTAAAATCATAATACTGAACTGGGTAAGGATTTCTAAAGCACCAGTTGAAAACCAACTGCTTTAATGTTTTGCTTTCCACATATAAAGGGTCCTTTATTTTTGTTCTTCTCCTTTAAGCTATCTGTAACTTACAGCAATTTGGTAAAGTGTTATCTTCACAGCAAAGGTTGAAGAATTTATTTTTTTCTATCTGGTTCCCCCCAAATTCTGAAACTCTCATTAAATACTCCTGTTTTTCATGTATATATTTGCATAGATAAAATGTATACATATTTGCATCGGTTTTACAGGAGTCTATTCTTGTAACAGGAGGCCTGAAGCACCTGGGTCCCGCTTCTTTTGATCCACAACTGATAAAGGGAGGCATAGTTCCATATTGTAAAGGTCTAATTGCTTCCACTAAAAATAACTATGCTCTGGTAGAGAACTCGTTTCACAGGGCAATCACGAGAGAAGAAAAATATATCACACTCTACATCCTGGAGATTTTGTGTACTGGAAAAGACACATCCAAAAGGACTCTCTCCAGCCTCACTAGAAGGACCCCTATCAGATACTGCTGACTAATCCTCATGCTGCCAAACTCCAGGGAGCAGACTCCTGGATCCATATGTATCACCAGAAGAAGACAGTGAACCCCAACTGGATCTGCACACCATCTGACAACCTGAATATAAAGCTCACTAGGATTTGAATCAGATGACATCTGAGGGTGACAGCTTTCCCAACATGTCTGGACTAGGCCTATATACCTTTCTTTCAATACTGTTTCTTACACGTTTTTCTCCCTCCCTTCCATGGAATGACAGTGCCCTCATCCGAATTTCCCAATCCCTGGTGCAAGGCGGAAACCTCTCTGATTGCTGGATTTGCCATCAGAAACCTCAGTCCCCGGCCTTCCCTGGTGATTTAGTGGTTAAGACTCTGCACTTCCAATGCAGGGGGCCCAAGTTCGATCCCTGGTCAGGGAACTATATCCCACATGCAGCAACTAAGACCTAGCACAGCCAAATAAATATATATTTAAATCCATTTAAAATTTTTTTAAAAAAGGAAACTTCAGGGGCTTCCCTGGTGGCACAGTGATTGAGAGTCCGCCTGCCGATGCAGGGGACACGGGTTCGTGTCCCAGTCCGGGAGGATCCCACATGCCGGGGAGCGGCTAGGCCCGTGAGCCATGGCTGCTGAGCCTGCGCGTCTGGAGCCTGTGCAACAGGAGAGGCCACAACAGTAAGAGGCCCATGTACCGCAAAAAAAAAAAAAAAAAGAAAAAAAAAGAAACTTCAGTCCCTCCAAGACAGCAATGGCCCTTTGGTTCACCCTATAAGTGATTTCACTGGGGTTCCAGATGCTGTTGTTTGTCCAAATTGTTCCACAGTACCATTTCATAGAGTCAGGGTGCTAAACCCGCCTAAACGTATTCCTTGCTTCATTTTGATCCAGCCCTGGGATAAGAAAACAAGATCTTTTCAATATTTGCATAAGAAGTTCTACGGAGGTAACTCTCTCAGTGTGTAACAATGTAATATCTGAGCCTTGGTAAGTAATGCTAATGCCTCTATACCAATGAATGAATCCATAGATACTATCACTTATGTGGGGGCCTTACGTACTCCCTCTGGTTACACTTTCAGATTTGGAAGTTTGGGGAATGGCTTTTAGGCATGGGCAACTCATTGCCTTGATAGCTGGAGAATACAACGACAGCGTGCCTGTGTTGTATTCACTGTCCTATTCTCCCTACGTACCGAACAGAAGCCTCTCATTTGTCCATCCCATTAATCATCTATAACTGCCCTAAGCAAGAACTTACAGGAAGTGTATGTGATTCTGGCTTTGCCCTCATAGGGAGAGCTTTCTTCCCACAGATCAGACTGAGTGCCAATGAACAAGTATCAAGAATTTCTTCCTGACACTAGGTGATTTAGCTGACCCCACAGCCAATTCAGTTTTAACTCAGGAACAATCACTAAACTCACTGGCCAAGGTGGTTTTGGATAACTGCAGAGCCCTTGATTACCTACTTGCTAGGCAAGGAGGCCTCTGTGCAACAGCAAACACCTTTTGTTGTACATGGATAAATACCTCTGGGGAAGCAGAGACCCAATTTACATAAAATTAAAGAGCAAGCACATTGGTTACAGCAAATTTCACCTGACAACCAACTGTCATTTATTCAGCTGGATACCTTCAGGCCTAGGCTCCTGGTTTAGAACCCTCCTGCAAACTGGTTTTAGAATGTTGTCTTTAATTCTGCTTTATATACTGGTTTTTAAGTTTGGTACCTATTACTTGTTGAACCTTTGTAAAAATGGCATGCCTACTAACATAATGCTAGCTCAGCCTTCAAGATAAATTCTACTCCTTACAACCTTGACTAAATATGAACTTTTAACAAGAAATGCCTGAGAGTTCTCCCTAGTACCTTGTCCTGTTACTCAAAAGGCAACCTGATGAGGGTTCTGATTTGTGTATAATACTTCCCCTTCAACAGGGGACATTACAACCAGGGAAGGGCCTTCCTGGCACCGAAAAACAAACCACTACATGTGGAAATTCTGACTCTTGATTAGTGATGTTTTTGAGGAAAGATCTTGATCAAAAGGGGAAACGTGAAATTAAAGAAACCTCAGCCAAAACTGGAGTCAGAACAGACCTGTAGGGGGAGCGCTCACGCCCTGCCATGCATCATCAATTGCTCCAAATAGAAGAACCACAGGCCTCCATCTCCAACAGGACTCTGCCTCTACTTTACTATCTCGCAGAAAGAAGAAAACAACTCTCCACTCTACGACAGCCCAGCCAATCAGAGGCTGTAGCAGCCCAACCAATGAGAAGCCTCTATACTTTGGACTCCTAGATTCTTCCAATGGACTCTGTGGTTCTCACAGCCCTTCCCAACTCTCCTTTTTTCCCTACGAAAGCAAGTTCCCCTTCCTTGTTTTTTGGATTTGCCTATGGTACACCATGACCTGCATTTTCCAAATCGGGATTCCTCTGGCTATTCCTGAATAAGTCTGCCTTTGCTGGTAAAATAACTGGCTATTATATTATTAAAATTGACGGGGGCAATCCTTCATTGTCAGACAATGGTTAACATTTTTTAGTCATAAAGTATTTTTGAATTAAGGTATGTACACTTTTTAGACATAATGTTTTTGCACATTTCATAAGACTACTGTATAGTGTAAACATAACGTTTTTTATTTTATTTATTTATTTTTGGCCGCATTGGGTCTCCATTGCTGCGCACGGGCTTTTTTCTAGTTGCGCGAGCGGGGGCTACTCTTCGTTGCGGTGCGTGGGCTTCTCATTGCGGTGGCTTCTCTTGTTGCAGAGCATGGGCTCTAGGCGCACAGGCTTCAGTAGTTGTGGCACGTGGGCTCAGTAGTTGTGGCTCACGGGCTCTACAGCACAGGCTCAGTAGATGTGGTGCACGGGCTTAGTTGCTCCGTGGCATGTGGGATCTTCCCAGATCAGGACTCGACCCTGTGTCCCCTGCAATGGCAGGAGGATTCTTAACCACTGCGCCACCAGGGAAGTCCCTAAACATAACCTTTACATGTACTGAGAAATCAAAAAATTTATGCAACCTGCTTTATTGTGATATTCATTTTATTCCAGTGATCCAGAACTGAACCTGCAGTATCTCCAAAGTATGCCTTATACGTAAGGATGTGCATAGATTATAGGCAAATAGTATACCATTTTATATAACGGAAGTAAGCATCAGCAGATTTTGCTATTATCTTTGGAGGGTGGTCCTGTGAAACAATCCCATGCAGATACCAAGAGACAATTGTATTTTACATTTTATAGCACATCTCAATTTGTACTAACTGTTTCAAGTGCTCAAAAGCCACAGGTGACTCTAGTGGCTATTACAGTGAACAGTGCAAGTCTAGACTATGTACATATGGGTTGCTGAATATGTGTTCATATACGATTGTTCTGGGAAGGTGAAAAAAGGGAAAAACAGAGGATGAATCCAGGAGCCCACAGCAACAGTCTAATGGGACAACAAATGAATGCTAGATATCCTCATGGTAAATGGCAGAAAGTAAAACGGAAAAGTAAATTGTGCGCCAAATGCGCTAAATCCTTAAAGAGTGTGGAAATTTGCTCTGGAAAATTAGCGATGATAGCAATAAGGAAAGCAGTATACACATATGTTACACATGGGTCACAGGTCAAGGACCTAGACAGAGTAATGTAGGGCCAGAGCAAGGCTGAGCCTGCCTTAAAGAAAATTTTAAAACTAATAATATCTACTTGAAAGGATTTCTGGAAAGTAATGTTACCTAAATTTCCAGAGAGTAAGAAGACAAAGGGATGGTGGGTGAGCACACGGAAAGGGTGCTAAGGAAGAAACCTGATAACTAGACCGTTCCAGAAGGTCCAGTAACAGGATGTTAGCAGAGATTCTACAAGCACTCTAACTACTATGGAATAAAAATATATGCAGATAAGCAAATAAATAGCAGAAGGCAAGTTTCCTGATTCTAGGACTAATAAGCTTCTTCTCGAGCTTAGAATACATAGTCACTAAACTGGACTATTTAATCTTCTCAGAGAAATAAATGGCTTAAATATAGAGTTGGCAGTTTATAAAGAAACTATCTTGCTTAAACTTTGTGAGGGGGTCTTTTCCAAATAAGCCCATTTGTGCCTAGCACACAGTATGCACTCTACAAATATCTGGCACCCAAATATTTATGGGAAGAATGACCTTCTAAGAAAATCTAGCTATTAATTCAAAAAGATCATCGTAACAGTAAAACTGATAAGTAGGAAAAAGTATATTCAATAAAATTGCTTTAAAAATAGGTTTGAGAAGAAATCAAACTACATAAATGCTATTTACCACAACAAATCTATACGGACTACTAGATCTTATTTATTAGTTCCAATTTTTTTCTGTCAGCCATAACACTGGGAATATAGCACAGGCATTTTTCTGCAGATCATTCAATTTCCTATAATTTTTCATTCTCATAAAATTCCAGCAAGATGATAAGACATGAAAGATCAAAAACAATAATGTCTCCCCAGACAAATTCTCATTAGGTTTGTCTTATTACTAATTAATCTTTGGCAGAACTGTTCATTCCTAATGTCATGGCTCATCTGATAAACTTTTAAAATGTACATTATAAGTCTAAATCAAAGCATGGTTCTAATAGATGATTTGGGATAAATCTGAATCAAGCTTTGGCTAAAACAAAATACAACTAATCTACCCAAATACTAATAGATAGTACACCATCTCTCCTCCACCCCCTTCTCCCATTCTTGTCTTGAAGCGGAACAATTCTTGTTTTATTTGATTTAGTTAGAAAAAGCATTTCAACTGTTGAAATAAATGTCTTATGATACTGATTACAGTAAGACACCACAAAAATAATAACCTTTGCAGAAATTTCAGGTCATCATATCTGGTATGATTTTCAAACACTTTCATCTCGAAATCTATTGATATTAAAAGAGTTACCATCAGGAGACTTCCGGGAAGATGGCGGAAGAGTAAGACGCGGAGATCACCTTCCTCCCCACAGATACACCAGAAATACATCTACACGTGGAACAACTCCTACGGAACACCTACTGAACGCTGGCAGAAGACCTCAGACCTCCCAAAAGGCAAGAACCCCCCACGTACCTGGGTAGGGCAAAAGAAAAAAGAATCAACAGAGACAAAACGATAGGGACGGGTCCTGCACCAGTGGGAGGGAGGTGTGAAGGAGGAAAAGTGTCCACACACTAGGAAGCCCCTTCGCGGGCGGAGACTGCGGGTGGCGGAGGGGGGGAGCTTCGAAGCTGCGGAGGAGAGCACAGCAACAGGGGTGCGGAGGGCAAAGCGGAGAGATTCCAGCACAGAGGATCAGGGTCGACCGGCACTCACCAGCCCGAGAGGCTTGTCTGCTCACCCGCTGGAGCGGGCGGGGCTCTGATCAGAGCACAGGGAGAGGAC